CAAACAAACAAACAAATAAATAAATAAATAAATAAATAAATAAATAAAGTCAGTATGGGAAAAGAGGGAAGGCAAACATTGTTCTGGTGCTAACCATACCTAACTATTTGGTCAGATTAAATGTTTATCACAGTAAGATTCAGTGAGTGCAGCTGGCATTACTCTAGTGTAGAGAGCCCCAAAATTAGCTAAAACGCATGAGCTAACAGGTTTTAACAGTGTGACCAAGTAAGACAGATGAAAAACTAGAAGTTGTAACATTTGATGTAATTATGGAGATATAGACTTGGTAATTTCAGGATCAAATCTCCAGGTATCTTTCTTTTATTACCAGCTGATGTTCTTCTTACCTCAAGCTTCCTGTTCAGCACTGCCTCGTTTTCAGCCAGAAGCCATCTTCGGTCTGCCTCCATCTTCTCCAGCAACTGGTTTTTGTGCTCCTCATAACTCTGTTTTTCTTGTTCAGCCCTCTCTTCAGCTTCAATTCTCATTTTCTCATGCAGCTCAGCTTCCCGTTTAGAGGCTTCAGCCTGGATTTTCTCCACTAGACAAAGAAAATTATCCATCTAGATTCCCCTGTTTGTACTAGAAGCCATATTGTTCTTCCGCTGAGCAAACTACCCATCCATGCATCAAGATGTATACAGAAAAAGCAAGGGTGTGACCAGGAACGATGCCACAGTTTCACTGTATGGAATTGGCAATTGCCTTTGTGATTACTTCAAACTTGGGACTAACAAGATTTCAATAAGGAATCTGGAGGTCCTACAACTGGAATGCTTCTAGACCAGGAATGGACTAAATGCTACAATCAAGATTTGTTTAAGGGCATGTCTTGAAGGTCTCCCTCCAACCGAAAGCATTATTGCCCAAAAAGCTCATTCTCTGCTCTGGGTACCTCCAAGAGCAGTACTTTTGAACTAAATCCCCTCCCCACAGCAGGAAACAACATGGTGTAATTTGCTAGTTCCTGTTTCAGCCAAAGTTTTAATTGTGCCAACCCTCTGCCTAAATTTTGGAGGGGTTCATCTTCTGCTTCTATTTGTTCTGCTTTCTTAGCTCCAGTACAGAAGTGAGCTGGACAAAAGTGATGGAATTCAGGAGGGTCAGCCGGAAGAAAAAGATGAGCTTGGGAGAAGAATTTAGGGAAGGGGTTTTATAGTAGATCATTGGCTCTAAATTTAGAGTAGGAAATCTGGTATCCTCCAAAAAAATTTGGACAACAACTCCTCTAAGCCCCAGCCAGCATAGCAGCTGGTCAAGGATCCTGTGAGTGTGAGCTGTTAGCCAAAACATCTGCAATTGCCATAAATAGCCCAGGAAATATCTAATTTGCACACCGGCTAGGCCCAATCTAAGACCCACCATGGCTGTTCAAAAATCATCAATCATCCAGAATTGCTGTTTTTTTTTTTTTCTTTCTGCACTATTGGGGCATGTTGAGGTAAAATGGCTTGGATGTGGATATGAAGTAAACACTCCTGGCTCAGCAGAAAAGAAGGCTAAAAGTTCCCCTGTTTCAAACACACAGCACAGATGGGAAGATACGGAGGCTTCACCTTCAATTTCCTTCTGCTTGTCTGTGAGGATCTGATCCGCCTTCAGGATGGACTGGACTGTCATTTCCCTGGATTTCAGGAAGTCTTGGAGGGCCTTAGCAGCCTGGAGAAATGTGGTGGAGGTAGGAATAAGGAAAAGAGAAAATATTTTGTGGCATACCAAATGATGAGCATGACTGTGAAAAAATGATGTGAGACCCCACTGAGGTATGGCCAGTCAACCTGACTTCTCCTGGACCTACCCTTACCGAACTCCATTGCTTTAAGAAACTTTCTCTCAGTTCACCATTCTGAAGGAGGGCTGGACTAAGAGAAAAGGGCTTCACAGGGCAGAAAGCCTTGACTCACCATTAAACCTTTCTTAGGCGCCCGCTCATAATGTTGTAGTTTTTCCTTCTGCTCCTCCAGGAACATCTGGTAGCCACCCGGCACTGAGTAGCTTCCATTGCTAATCTTCTCCTCCACAACCTGGAACAGGTCCATGAGCACAGCCTGACATCGATCTAAAGACACCTACTCATTGTGAGAAATCAGTTCTTGAAGTTTGGATTGCATCTGGTTCTGTGACAATGAAGAGAAGGCAGAGAGGCAAGGTCAGATGGAACGGATGGGCCCTGTGGATGGAGGTCCCATAGCTCCAGGACTTCCCAAACTTGGGAGGTTTCTTAAGGATTCTCTGATGGGGAATGAAGACAAAATCTTTTGACAGCATAAAACTCATGGCTTAGTTTTAGGGCAGGTGGACCAGTGGATAGGGAAGCAATGGAATGACACTCATCCAAGCGGGACTATCAGCCATCACAAGCATGACAATAACACACCTGGGAGAAAAAGCAGACAATTTCCATTTCAGACTTCTGGAATAATCATACCCAAAAGGGAGTGCAGGAAGGAGCTTGTGTCTAGACACTAAGAGACCCAGAGGAGGGTTTCGGGTATCTTTGATACTCATGGCAAGATTTACATCTTTATGTGATAAATCTCCTCTCGGAGGCCCACTTTTGTCTATGGAATGAAAGGTCCACCATCTTGGTTTCCTCCAAACTGTCCTGTCAGCATTTCTGGCTACACTCCAAGAAGAGTGAAACTCAATCCGTTCCAACCCAATCCAGTCAAAGGTTAGAATATCTCTGCTACATATATAGGTCTTTGATATGTCAGTCACTCCCTAAATTAACCCAAGAATCAGCCTACCATTCCGTACAAAGAAGCCTCTATTTTCAATTATCCAACTTATTATCAACAAAATCATCTAGGTAGGAATTCCCATTTGCTTCACCCTATGAGCCAAACTTTACATTACGGATAATTCATTAATTGAGATATTTCCTCACATACTGTAAGCTTTCAGTATGTGAGCTTTGAAAGCTTTCAGTATGTGACCTCCTGCTTCGAAGGCTTTTGTAATCTTTCAAAGCAGGAGGTTTTCTCACCTCACAAATTTGCAAATTTTTTTTGCTTCAGTTTGTGGTGGTCTTTCGGATCTAGTACGCCAGGCTTCATCAGGAAGACTGATTTCTCAGATATACCCAAATCTTATCTCTGGAGTAATGAGGTCCTTTCAGCTCTAATCATGAGTTATCCATAATGAACAGTTCGGCCTTAAATCTCATTCCCACCAATTAATTAATCTCTTTACCGCCAGTTTTTTTTGGTACTCATTGTTGTCGTCCTTGAAGGCGCGGGCCATGAACACTTTGAGGGCTTCCTTCTCACACTCGCCGTGGGCCTCCAGCACCTCATTGACCGTCTCCGTTGGCAGCTTCACGCGAAGGCGCGGGCCATGAACACTTTGAGGGCTTCCTTCTCACACTCGCCGTGGGCCTCCAGCACCTCATTGACCGTCTCCGTTGGCAGCTTCACGCGTTGCTTTATGGCAGCTTCATAGCATGTAATGGCGTCCTGAACCGCAGCTGTATTCTCAATCTGGGCCAAGACGGTCACGGCGTTCTCTATGCAGGGGACGGTCCCGCTTGCAATGGCATCCACGTAGGTCTGTACTAGGTGTCCAAAAGCTGCAAAGAGGGAGGATGGCAAGCAGTACAGTCATGTTCCATCCACTTTTATTTATCTACCTTCTAGCCTTCCTCTCATTGAGGGTCTCAGACTGAATAATGGCTGCAGGGCAAAGTAAAATTATTTATAATATATAAATATTTACTGACCTCTTAGAACATTCTTTGGCCAACCGTGAGGTGTGGCCCCAAAGAAATGTCAAGGGGTCATGAGAATGCGATACTTCCATAGAGAAAGGAATGTTTTTATCAGCTTATGGAGACATATACAGTTGATGGATGCAACTTTTGTGAAAGGGAAAAAAAATCCTTGTTCTCAATTATAATCGAAAATATTGTTTTTACTTTTAAATTACAAACTAGTGCTTTTTCTTAAGGTCGTAAAAAGGGAAGGCATAAGGATTCCTCATAAATCCAAAGGGGGACAGGATACCAAGAGGTTGAGGAACTGTTCTTTTAGAACATGCTTCCGTTGTGCTTCCTCCAGTACCTGAGCCACTGTATCAATATTTATAAGCATCAGTTACTAAAATGAGATTACCTGCCTAATCTCATTTGCTAACAATTGAATTTACACTGATTTACTACTTCAGAGATATTTTGAATAAGGAAAAAATGGCCTGCATTAATGTCAGTTTTCTTTACAACTCAAAGAGAGAAATGGTCAATCCTCTCATCAGCTGGAATGAAGCAGCAAATTTTAGAGTTCATAAGGACAGCAAATTGTTAATTAATTTGTTATCACATCTGTTTACTGTTGAGTGGAGCTTTATGTGTCTTGTGCCAAATTAACTGTGGTAGCTTTAAATCATATGTGCCTTGGTAGGACAGTGCCTTGCTTGATGCCCAGTACTGTCCCACCTCAGGAAAC